GGGGGGGGGAGGGGGGGTGTGAGGCAAATAAGTGGAAAACAAGAAAAAAAGCGACACTGTGTTATTGATTAGACTCCTAATGCGCATGCACAGAATATAGTGAAGCGTGGTCCTGGAATCTAGTTATCAACATGACGCACAAAAACTGTCTATAGAAAGTAAAATATTGTCTGATGTAAAATTAAGAATATTTTGTTTCCATGAAATTTTTAAATCATAAGTATCCTTGTAGTCAGCAAAAGTAAAGATTAGATAATATTAAAAGCTATTGACTGGTTATTAGAAAACAATTGAGGTTCAAAAACAGCATGTTGCAAGCGAGAAAATGGGAAACGATCGTGGGAAACGTTGAAGCTTTCACTTTACTTATTCTACTAATTAAATGCTAGTCATAAAAACCTTCAAATGATAACCCACTGTGATTGAGATCATAAATTACACGAAAACTTTAACACGAAAAGAACATGAATAAATGGCCTGTGGAACAAGCCGTTCTTATGTTACCCAAAACTAGACTGCTCAAAGAGTCCACTATTAGACTCTTTTCTGAAGTAGATGTATAGTAAACCAGAGTGACTTAACGTAGTATGTTTAAAATGTTTGACACAGTCTTAGATCATATTTGTTATTATGATAAAGTATACTCGAAATGAAAGCGTTATCTTACTTAATGATAGAAAAACAAGACAGTTATCGCTATGAATCAACATCTGAAGCGAAGGAAAAACAACCACAGTAAAACAAAACTTCGATAAAGAATTTTCAATGCGATTATAATGAATATGTGATTGCCCATCACAACCCACGATTCTTAATTAAGTTGCTCAAATCAGTTTACGCTTACTTGATTAAGGTCCTAGAAAATGCTAGCTCCTGCCACAGCTTGGATTATATATATACTTTGAATACAGCGGCACTGGCAGCAATTTACTATTTCAAGCCATTACGCTAGTTGGGTGAGAATAAGCAACTATATAATGACCTTTTAATGAGACCACTAGAAGCAAACTACTGGAGACATGGCAATCAATCAAGCCACAAAGCCATCTTTAGAACTAACTCGTTTGATCGTGACCGCGAAAACCAATAAAACAGCCCCAAATCCCAGAACAATAGCCAATGTACAGAATCTTTTCTCAACTAAACAATCGCGGTTTAACCTATCACTTTTTAGTTATTCAAAGCTGAGATATTTAGCACTCATCATTTGTTTTGACGTTAATCAGTGAACTCTTTGTGAATTAATGATTCGCTCATGCGAAAAACCCATGAAAAGACGTGCAGTTTTATGCTTCTCGCCGAACCGGTTTGAGATGATTGAAAAACCTGTTAAGGCAAAAAAAGCGGAAATATATTTCCGTTCCAATATTTTTGATATCAGTTTTACATTCAATGCAATATCTATATTCTTGAGAGAAAAGAAGAAAGAAATTAAAAGGAAAAAAAAAAAAAGATCCAAGATGTAAAATCAATTAAGTAAAATGCTACATCCGAGAAAGATATTATAGATCTACTCAAGGTTATGATGGCTAATATTTAGTAGGCCTGTACGCATGTATTAGGATTAGGACAGAGAAAACTAAGAACGGTGGACTCAAAACTCAATGGCGTGGGTTCACGTCATTTTCAACAACCCCTACCCCTTCATGGTTAGATCTAGGAGTGAGATTGCAGGTTCGCCATCGAGAGTTGCTCCGAAAGAACTTATTTTATTCTACTATACGTGTATCCTTCTGGAATATGCCTGTCCAGTTTTCCACCATGCACTACCAGCTTATCTGGATGACGATTTGGAACGTCTACAAAGACGCGCTCTTCGGATTATTTACTCTATTTTGTCTTATGCTGAAGCCCTCAGTGCGTCAGGGTTGCCTACACACTATCTAAAAAAGAGAAGAAATCTCCTCGAAACTCTTGGCCGAGATCTCTACAAATAAGGAACATAAATTACATTCACTTTTGCCAGAAAGGATCACATCTACTTACAGCCTTAGGAGCCAAAGACTATATAAACTACCAAAATGTAGAACTGAACGGTGCAAGAACAGCTTTATTCTAAGTCACGTTTTTAATAACTAGATATTTAAATGAAATTACATTCAAATTTTTAATTTATATTTTATAAAAGGTTTTTTTTTTTTTTTGCATGAAATTTTACATATAGTCTTTATTGTTTTCA